CGCACCCACTGCTTCAGTCAGGTGCATTGGTGCTGGCAGTCAGCCAGGGGCCGGGATGGAGCCCTTGGAGGTCCCTGACAGCGATGTTCAAACCGGCTGGCCAGGTCGGGCAGCCCGGCGGGGCTAGCGCCGGGGTGGGGTGAGGCCCCGGGGTGGGGCAGGTGAGGGAGGGGGCGGGGACGGCCGGGCCCCGGTGAGCCCCGGGTGAGGCCCGCCCCCCCCCCGTCCTCGGGCTACTGTGATAGTCACATGACGCGCAAGTCATGTCCGGTCGATGCGTCGGCGCGGAGGAGCACTGGACAGCGAGTCGGAGGAGCTGTTGCTGGTCTCTGACCACGAGAGCGACGATCACCAGGAAACGACGACCCAACCGAAGGGTCCTGGAGCGGAAAAGGCAACCGTCGACTTCCCATCATTCGCAGAGACGTTTGTCGTCACAAAGCACGTGATGCTGCGGCTGCTCGGCGCCGTCTACTTCTTCGCCTTTCTCGGCGCGTACCTGCAAAACGGCGCGCTCCTCGGTGAGCGCGGCCTGATGCCGGCAAAGCCGCACCTCGAGCGGCTTCAAAAGCAAAACGCGGCCGGCGGCGGCTCGCGGCTCGACGGCTTCTTGTCTGCGCCCTCCGTCTACTGGTGGCTGCCGCTCAGCGACGCCTCGCTGGACGGCGTCGCCGCGGCCGGCGTCGCGATCGCCTCGCTCGTCTGCTGCGGCCTCCACTCTTCGGCGGCGATGGCGGCGATGTGGCTCCTCTACTTCTCCCTCGTGACGGCGGCCGAGGGCTCCACTTTCTACCAGTACGGCTGGGAGAGCCAGCTCCTCGAGACGGGCGCCCTCGCCGTGTTCCTGCCGCTGCTCCAGCGCCGCGACTCCGACCCTTCCCGCGTCGTGCTGTGGCTCTTCCGCTGGCTCTCGTTCCGCATCTCGCTCGGCGCCGGCCTCATCAAGGTGCGCGGCGGCTCCTGCTGGGAGGCGCGCACCTGCCTGCACTACCACTTCGAGACGCAGCCGCTGCCTTCGCCCGCCTCGTTCGCCTTCCACTTCCTGCCAAAGTGGCTCCTCTCGCGCGGCGTCGACCTCGACCTGATCGTCCAGCTTTACGCGTCGTGGGCGGTGCTGGTGCCCTGCTGCGGCGAGCGCTTGCGCCGGCTTCGCCGCGCCGCCGGCGCGCTGCAGGTCGCCTTCATGCTCAACATCGCCGCCTCGGGCAACCTCTCCTTCCTCAACCACCTCACCGTCGTCCCGTCGCTCTCCTGCCTCGACGACGCCTGCTGGCGGCCGCTCGCCCGCCGCTGCCCGCGCGCCCTCGCCGCCCTCGTCGCAGAGCCCGCCGCCGCCCTCGGGAAAGCCGAGCCGCCGCCGTCGCGCCTCGCCCGCGCCGCGCGGGTGCTGCTTGACTGCGCCTTGCTCGGGGTGGTCGGATGGCTCTCTTGGCCGGTGCTTGCCAACCTGCTTGAGCTCGGTGGCGGGCGGCAGGCCATGAACGCATCCTTTGGCGCCTTCAAGCTCGTCAATACGTACGGCGCGTTCGGCAGCGTGGGCGAGGCGCGGTACGAGCCCATCGTCTCTCTGAGCCACGACGGGCGCACCTGGCACGAGGCGCGCCGCCCCCCGCCCTCCCCCCTGCCGCCCGCCCCGCCTCCGCATCTCGCACTCTCCCGTAGGTCGAGTTCCCCTGCAAGCCCGGCGCGGTGACTCGCCGGCCATGCTTCTGCGCTCCCTACCACTACCGGCTCGACTGGAACATCTGGTTCCTCGGCTTCAAGCCGCACCAAAGCATGCTGCAGCGGCGCGAGCGGTGGCTTTTCGCCTTCCTCCTCAAGCTGCTCGCCGCCGACCCGCCCGCCCTCTCCCTCCTCGCCGCGGGCGCCGCCGACGGCGCCGCCTTTCGCGACCCGGAGCCGCCGCACGCCCGCAAGGCGCCGCGGTACGCCAAGGTGGACATGTACCGCTACTCGATGGCGGAGCCGCTCTGGCTGCTCGCAGCCCGCTGGTGGCGCGCACCCGCGACGCCGCTCGTGTGGTGGAGCCGCGCCTACGAGGAGCAGCTCGTGCCTGCGGTGACGGTGGGCCCGCGGGGCGAGCTGGTGCGAGCGGAGGAGCCCAGGAAAGAGCGCCCTAAGGCGAGAGAAACGCAGACGCCGCCGCCTGTGGACGAGGAGCCGCAGTGCGCGCTGTGGACGTCCATGGGCGAATGCGAGCGGAACCCGCGGTTCATGGCGCAGCGTTGCGCCCGCGCGTGCGCAAGTCAATGACAACTACGTTTACGAAAACATGGTTAGTCCACATAGTCGCGCGCTGTGTGTGATGTTGTCGTGCCGTCGAAAAGTCCTCGACACGAGAGTTGTCCGCGGCGCTCGCGGTGTGGGTTGCACTTTCTCGACTCTCGCGCGCGCTCTCCGCGGAGGGGGAGCGGGAGGAGCTGCTCTTTTGTGTTCTCGTGGTCGCGCTGTGAGAGTGAAGTACCACGATTGTGGTAGTATCGTGTACGATGATGGTGTTCTAAGAACACGGACGTAACACATTCTAGAGACGAATATACAGCTCATTTTTCACTCAGCAGCGCCGCTGCGCCGCCTGCACACAGGCCCCGCCTCGATCTTCTGTGGCAGCAGCTGGTTCGATAGGTCATCTCCGTTGCCTAGGTAGCCGCGGCCGCCCCTGCCCCAGGTAAAGATGGCGCTATCGCCGGTGGTGGCGAGGCTGTGGTTGTCTCCAGCCGACACCTCGACGACGCGCCGCCCAGCAAAGGCCTCGACCTTCTTGGGCAGCTGCTGGCGTGCTGGTCGCCGTGGCCCAGCTTGCCAAAGGTTCCAGAGCCCCAGCTCCAAACACCCCCGTCGGCGGTGAGGGCGATGCTGTGGTGCGTTCCAGCCGAGACAGCGACTGTGCGCCGCCCCGCCAACGCCTCGACCTTCTTCGGCAGTAGCTGCCGCTGCTCGTCGCCGTGGCCCAGCTTGCCAAAGGCTCCATGGCCCCAGCTCCAGACAGCGCCGTCGGCGGTGATGGCGAAGCTGTGGTAGACTCCAGCCGACACAGCGACGACGCGCCGCCCAGCAAAGGCCTCGACCTTCTTGGGCAGCTGCCGGTGCTGCTGGTTGCCGTGGCCCAGCCGGCCTTCGCCTCCGCCGCCCCAGCTCCAGACGGCGCCGTCGGCGGTGATGGCGAAGCTGTGGTCGCCTCCAACCGACACAGCGACGACGCGCTGGCCAGCAAAGGCCTCGATCTTCTTCGGCTGCCACTGGTTCTGCTGGTCGCCATGGCCCAGCTTGCCGTATTCTCCGTCGCCCCAGCTCCAGACGGCGCCGTCGGCGGTAATGGCGAGGTTGTGTCTCCGTCCATCCGTCACTGCAACGACGCTCTGGCCGGCAAAGGCCTCGATCTTCGTCGGCTGCCACAGGTCGCACCGTCGCTGCCACTGGTTCTGCAGGTCGCCATGGCCCAGCTGGCCACGGTGTCCCTGGCCCCAGCTCCAGACAGCTCCATCGGCGGTGAGGGCGAGGCTGTGGTTATATCCAGCTGCCACGCTCACGGCACGCTCGTCGCCCAGGGGGAGGCGGGTAGGTGTGTTCAGCCGCGTCACGGCCTCACCGTGCCCGAGCAGTCCTGGCGTCCAGCTCTCAGCCATTCCGCACGACGACAGCCGCCCCTCGCCATCAATGAAGAGGCTGTGCATATAGCCTGCCGCCGCCCTCGCCGGCGGGTTGGATTCGCGCAGCAACGCCGAATAACACAGCCACCGTACGGCGCAGCTCTCGCCCTCTGGCTGCGCCGGCAGGTCGAAGCCGCGCTCTTGCGCCCACAAGCGGATGCCCTCCTCCGCAAGCGAGGCGTGAAAGAGAAGCGAGACGGCCGCGGCGCGAGCGATGTCGATGGGGCTGGCAAAGCGGGAGAGGACGCGCACGAGGAGCTCCCTGGGGAGGTCGAGGAGGCGGGCGGGCGGCGGCGCGTCTGGCGAGGGCGCGGCGGCGGCGGCGCGGCGACGAGCGATTTCTCTACCCTCAACTTTCTCGCTAACACGCGCGCACCGCCGAGCCTGCGGCGGGCGCGCTGCGGCCGCACGTCTAACTCCGTCAATAGTGCCACGAGCCCACGACGTGCGGCCTAGAATTAGCTCACGCACCTCTGCTCGCATACACTCACCCATTGAATTGCCACTGCCAGTGATTGCGACTGCAGCTTGCGACTGCAACGACCCGTCTTTTTTCTTTTTTTATCGATCAACACTTTCGATAGACCGAAAGTAAGATCGTTCGGTGCAGAAACCCCGGCCATGCCCATGTAACGCAATTGTGCTCGATTTTTTTGAAATTTAGAAAAGGAGTTGCGGTGTTGATCGCCGCGGGAGCCCTCTTATATACCAAAAGGAGGGCTACACGAGGCCCTCTACGCTGGGGTGCCGGCGCCCTACTGGGCGCCCCCCACTCCCTTCCCCTTAGAGCCCCCCATCCCGCTTACCCCCCCGCGCGGTCCCGCGCGGCCGCGCGACGCCGCACCAATGGCGCGCTGTGCCTCGTCCGCGAGCGCCGTCCAGAGCTGCACCGACAGTCGCTGCAGCGCAAACGGCATCCATTCGCGCGCCGACCACGACGTCTGGTCGTACTGCCACCACGTGAGCTTCCGGCCCGCCACCTCAGCCACCCGCATCAGCAGCTCCTCCACCCCCGCGCTCATTGCGCCGAACGCCTCGAACGAAGAGCAGCGCCTCCACATGGCACTTCCCCTCTGCGTCCGTGTACTGGCCCTTGACAGCCTCAACCGTCCCGGTCCCCGTCCGCGGATCCCACCGTCCCACCCTCCCACCCCTGTCCCCGCCCTCCACGCCCAGAACCGTCTCGCGGGCGCGTGGCAGCGTGTTGCCGCAAGCGACGAACGCCCCCATGCGCCCCACCCCCGAGGGGTCCCGCCGCCGCCGCCGCCGCCGCCGCCGCCGCCGCTCTTTTGGCCTGCGCCAACACCGGCATCCAGCAGCTGCGTATCGGAGCACGGGGCAGCGGGCAGCTCAGCGGCACAAAGACATAAGGCACCCGCCGCGGGCTGTGTGCACTCCAGCAGCTCAGTGGAGCCGGAGCACCCCAGACCGCCGACCGGCTGCCCGTTCGACTCCGCATGGTCCCTCCCTCGCGCGGCTGGCGGCGCCAGCGGCGCAGCCGCCAGCTGCCACCGCCGTCTCCCCGTCCTCGCCTCCGCCACCGTCTTTGGCGGAGGTACCCTCCGGCGCCGGGCTGTCGGGTGACAGCAGCAGCGACGCCATAGAAATCAGCAACGGCGTCTGGAACGCCAACCAGGTTGCAACTCTGTCTCGAAAACGATACCAACCAACAGCTCTCAGGACCCCCGGTGCTGGGGTGCTGCCAGCAACCAACCACGAACTCGTAGCTCACTGAGGAGGGAGTGCGGAAGCTCCGCGCGGCTGAAGTACCACGCCTGCCCGCCGGGACCGCTTGCGGGAAGCCATCGCCAGCGCTGTCGCAGCATCGAGCGGCGCGTCCTCCCCTACGAGCGGCAGCCTGTATTGCACCATAGGTCGTCGGCTTTGCCGACGGGCGACGTGGACGGACACAGGCAGGGATGACGGGCGAACACGGTACCCGAACAAGCATGATCCAGAGAAGGGGGCATTGATTGCACTACATAGTGAGTGCGGGACCTGGGGCAGCAACCAAGCAACAACCTGGATGGGTGCTGCGCAACCGACGCCAACCAGCAGCGTTCACAGCACAGTCGACTGCCCCCCCCCCCCCCCCGCCCCGTTCGGCGGCGGCTTCTCGCCCACCGCCGTTCTCAAGCTGCGCCGCCTCGCGCGCAAAGTCGCGCGCGGCAGCGTTGACCGCACGGCCTACTCGCCCAAGTACTCGCTCTCTTTTATGTTAAACTCTTTTATGTCCCACCATGCAGAGCGCATCTCTCTCTCTCTCTGTTGTGCGAGGCGTGAACCGCGCCATTCGCTCTCACCTGGCAACCCTGTCTGCACGTCTCGCGCGCGCGTGAACAGGGCTCGCCAAGGCGCAAGGCCAAGGGAAGGGGAACACACACACATTGTGGGCTGGCCTGCTATGTGCTTACTCTATACAACCCCCTGCACGCGTCCCACCCTTTGCCCTGGCCGGCCGATCTCCTCTCTTTTACACACATAAATCATCGAAAACCATAACCCATCTCGCGCGCGCGTGAACAGGGCGGCGCCGGCGGGCGGACGAGCCAATCCGGCACGAGACGAGACGCCGAGACGACGCCTCCTCCGAGCACCACCTGCAGAGCGGAGCGGCGGTCGATGACTAGCAGCGGCTGTGGTTCTCTCGCGCCAGCACGGCGGCGACGCGCTGGTCAGCGAAGGCCTCGACCTTCTTGGGCAGCAGCTGGTTCTGCACGTCGCCGTGGCCCAACTTGCCGTGGCGGCCTTCGCCCCAGCTCCAGACAGCGCCGTCGGCGGTGATGGCGAGGCTATGGTAGACTCCAGCCGACACAGCGACGACGCGCCGCCCAATGAAGGCCTCGACCTTCATCGGCAGCAGCTGGGTCTGCTTGTCACCGTGGCCCAGCTTGCCAGAGCCTCCAACGCCCCAGCTCCAGACGGAGCCGTCGGCGGTGAGGGCGAGGCTGTGGCTGCTTCCAGCCGACACAGCGACAACGCGCCGCCCAGCGAAGGCCTCGACCTTCTTCGGCAGCAGCTGGTGCTGCTGGTCACCGTGGCCCAGCTTGCCCGCGTTTCCACCGCCCCAGCTCCAGACGGCGCCGTTGGCGGTGAGGGCGAGGCTGTGAGCCCTTCCAGCCGACACAGCAACGGCACGCTGGTCAGCGAAAGCTTCGACCTTCTTTGGCTGCCGCTGGTCCTGCTGGTCGCCGTGGCCCAACCTGCCAAAGGCTCCACTGCCCCAGCTCCAAGCGGCGCCGTCAGCGGTGATGGCCAGGCTGTGGCGGGCTCCGGCCGACACGGCGACGACGCGCTGCCCAGCCAAGGCCTCGACCTTCTTGGGCAGCGGCTGCCACTGCTCGTCACCATGGCCAGCGTAGCCACCGCCCCAGCTCCAAACGGCGTCGTCGGCGGTGATGGCGAGGCTGTGCTCGCCGCCAGCCGACACAGTGACGACGCGCTGGCCAGCAAAGGCCTCGACCTTCTTGGGCAGCAGCTGGCGCTGCTGGTCGCCATGGCCCAACCGGCCAAAGAGTCCATAGCCCCAGCTCCAGACGGTGCCATCGGCGGCGAGGGCGAGGCTGTGGAAATCTCCAGCCGACACGCTCACAGCGCGCTCGCCGCCCAGCGGGGAAGCGAGGCGGATCGGCGTGTTGAGCGCTGGGACGGTTTCTGTTGAGCCGCACGACGACAGCCGCCCCTCGCCGTCGATGAAGACGCTGTGCCATTCGCCTGCTGCCGCCCTCGCCGGCGGGTTGGACTCGTGCAGCAGTGCGGCGAAGCACAGCCATCGCACGGCGCAGCTCTCGCCCTCGGGCTGCGCCGGCAGCTCGAAGCCGCGCTCTTGCGCCCACAAGCGGATGCCGTCCTCCGCGAGCGAGGCGTGAAAGAGAAGCGAGACGGCCGCGACGCAAGCGATGTCGGCAGGGCTGTTGCGAGAGAGGGCGCGCACGAGGAGCTCCCTGGGGAGGTCGAGGAGCCGGGAGGGCGGCGGCAAAGCTCGGCGGGGTGGACATCGCGAAGAAAGAATCTTACAACAAAACTCCCTCGCACAACACTGGGCACGGGACTGGCGCGCACTGGCACGAACACAGGTACACCACGGGAGCCGCCTAAGCGACTCCTGCGAGGGTGGCGAGGCACTTAGCTCCGTGCACCCGCCCACCCCCGCCACAGGCAAGCTCATTCACGACCTGCTCTGCGATGGCCGTGTGAAGAACGACTGAGATGCGCTGCTTCTGCAGCCCCAGCCAGCTCTTGGTGGTCCAAGTCACCTCATCGAGGTACTGGGCCCGCGTCAGCTTGTTCTGCGAAGAAAGAATTTACGGAGGACATGGTGACGCTGCTGCAGAAGAGCGGCACATGGACTTACGAGAGGGCGACCTCGGGCTTTGTGCCCTGGGAAGCGGCCCTGGCGTCGCAGTCAGGAATAGGGGTGCATGGAGGTCGACTCTGGCCTGGCGCTGGGGCCGCCCGACGAAACAGACTTGGATGGATGCGTCGTACGGTGGTCTCATGCCCAAGTGAGGTAGTGCATCTGACCACTCCGGATCCTGCTGACAAGTTCCTCTTGTGTAGCTCGATCGGTCACACCGCCATCACCGCCGACGTCTCCCACCCACCCACCCAGTGAGTGAGACGATGGATGGAGAGGGGGGACGGCGAGACTACATGTAGAGTTGCAACTAGAGACGGCTCGCAGCGGCGGTCACGAGAAATAAAACCGTGTGTCTGTCGCACAACCGGATCTGTGTCTGTCGCACAACACTGGGCACGGGACTGGCGCGCACTGGCACTAACACAGTGGCCCGCACTAATCGACCCCTGTAAAGTGACTCGTTCGCTTTCTCCACCAACCAAACTGTGATTTTGTGTCAGCGCTGTGTCTTGCTTTGCCAACAACAAACCAAAATCCAAAACACTGTAAGGTAGGTAGAAATCGCAAACCCCGTCAGCAGTCCTCCTCCGGGAATGTACGTAAGAGCTACATTCACTGAAATGTTACCAACCGGTGAGAAAAAGAAACAAAAAAACCCTGGCGCGGCGACGCCACAAGCCGAGCCGACGGGTCCAGCATGCTCTCGGCGATGCTCGACGGGTCCACGGACGGCGAGCAGGCCCTCCTCCTCCGCAAGATGGCCAAGCGCGACACCGTCACCAAGCTCAAGGCGCTGGGCGAGCTCCGCGAGGCGCTCTCGGCGCACGGCGCCAGCTGGGCGGCGGAGCTGATGCCGCACTGGGTGCCGCACTTTGTCCGGCTGAGCGGCGACGGGTCGTGGCAGGTGCGCGAATCGGCGTGCGCGGCGCTGGGGCAGCTCGCGTCGCTGCTCGGCCGCCAGCTCGCGCCCCACCTGCGGCCGCTGATGGCCGCCTGGCTGTGCGCAAAGCACGACCCTCACGGCGGCACGGCGGCGGCGGCGGCGGCGGCCTTTGGCGTCGCATTCCCCAACCCGCGCAAGTACGCGGACGCGCTCCTCTTCTGCCGCGACGAGCTCGCCCGCGGCCTCGCCGAGCGCGCCCTCTCCGCGCCGCCGGCCGCCGCCAGCGACAAGGACGAGGCCGCCGCCGCCGCCGACGCGCACGCTCGCCGGGTTGGCTCGGCGCTGCGGGCGGCGTCGCACCTGCTCGCGGTCGCTGCGGAGAGCGGCGAGGCCCCTGCGTCGGGTGCGCGTGCGGCGCTCGAGGCGGCGCTGTGCGGCGGCGAGGTGTGGAGGCTGGGGAGCGCCGCGTCGAGCTTTGTGCGGACGGGAGCGTACGGCTGGGCGGGATCCGTCCTCTCCCACTCGACCGCGCTGGCGGCGGGCACCGCGGCCGAGATGGCGGGGCTGCTGCTCGGCGGCCTCAAGGAGAGCGAGCCCGCCTGCCATGCCGCGCTCTGGGAGCCACTGCTGCTGCTGCTGCGCGACCACGGCGCCGCAGTCTCGTGTAGCGAGGCGGCGCGCCACACGCTGCCGCGCCTCGTCTCACTGCTCGAGCACGGCTGCCACGGCGCCGCGCCGACCGTCGCGCGCGCGCTCCTCCCGCTCGTCTCCCTCCTGCCCGCCCCCCTCTTTGAGCCGCCCGCCTCCGCCGCACTCCCGCCCGCCGCCGCGCTGCTGGCCGCCCTTTGGCGGGGCCTGGGCGCGTCGGCGCTGCCGCCGCAGCACGGCGCCCATCTGCTGCGCGCGTACGGCGAGCTGCTGCAGCTGCTGGTCGTGCGCACCTCCGCCCGCGGCGCGAGCGCGGCGCCCCTCTTGCGTGAGGCGCTGTGCGGCCGCGCCGCGGCCGTCGTCGGCGACGTCCCTAGAAGCGGAACGCGTTTTCTTTTGTCTCCTACCTAGCGCGCGAGCGCGCGAGGGGACACGGGCTCAGCTGTATTCGAGCCTGTGGGAGTCCGCTGTCTTCCGCTGCACTCGTACCCCTCGTATTCACGCGGTGCTCTGAGTCCTCCGCACACAAGGCCGTCCTCCCGCCCTGATGTTGGCGTTTTCAGCCACGCAGGCGGCGACGCCCCGCAGAGGATCTCGCCGGACGAGGCGGCGGTGAAGGCGCCTAGATGCGGGGTAGAGAGGTAGAGATTGTCCTCCGATCGGAGGACACGTGTTCGCTGTCTTGGCGGCCGGTGCGCTCACTCCCCCTTCCGCCCCAACGCTTGGTATGTCCATGGCGCACATCTCTCGCCATCTCCCCCGACATCTCCCCCCCTCCCCCACATACCCCCCCCCCCCCCCAGGCGGGGCTCGCGGACGCGGCCGTGCGGATCGCCCTCTCGAGCCGCTGCGCCCCCTCCACCGCATCGATGTGGGCCGACCTCGTGCGGGCGGTTGCGCGGGCCGCGTCGGACGCCGCGGCCGGGACAAGTCCCGGACATGTCCCGGCCGGGGAGGGCGGCGCCGGCGGAGGCGGCGAGGCTGCGCGAGCCGCCGCCAGCGCGTCGAGGCTGCTGCGGGCCATGCACGCGCCGCTCGCCCTCCGCGCCAAGGCGCCGCGGCCGGTGGCTGCCGCCGCGGGGCAGGGCGCCGCCTCTGAGCAGCAGCAGCGAGCGGCGGCCCAGCTCTCCGCTCTCTGCGCTGCCGTCGGCGAGGAGAGCTTTGGTTCGCTCCTCCCGGCGGCGCGCTCCGGCGCCGACGGGCCCGCGGCGCTGCTGGTCGCCTTGTGCCGCGACTTTGGCCTGTGCGCGCTCGCGGCTTCCGTCACACGCGCGTGCTCCCCGGACCGCGGCGGGTGGGCGGTCGAGCTGCTGCCGGCGGCGGGCAGCGTCGTCGCGGTGCGCGCCCAGCCGGTCCCCGCCGCGCTTTGTGCCGCGCCGGATCTGATGCGCGGGACGCTGCTGCCGTGGGCGAGCGCGGTGGTCTCCGGCGTCTCGCCCGAGGGGCAGGTGTCGCGGCGCACGGCGAGGCTCCTCCTCGCTCGGCTGGTCTCGGAGGAGTGGGAGGCGGAGGGGGGCGGCGGCAGAGACCTCGCGCGGACGCACTGGCAGGCGGTACTCCGCTCGGTGCCGGCGGCGTGGGAGTGGCTGGCGGCGCTGCTGGCCGACCTCGCGGCGGCGGTGGGAGGCGGCAGCCCTGCCCAGGCCGGCGGCGGTGCCCAGCAGCTGCTGAGCTGCACCGAGCTCGACTGCCTCGCCAAAGGCGCTGCGGAGGCCGCGCTCGGCCGGCAGGCTGGCGGCGGCCCCCCACAGGCGGCGGAGCGCTTCCTGCTCGCGTGTGCGCCCGGCGGCGTGCGGCTGCTCGGCGGCGCGGCGACGGCGGCGGTGCTGCACGCGTGCGCAGATGTCTTGCGCGACGCGTGCGCCGAGGGGGACCGCTGGCCTTGTGCGGCGGACCCGCTGTGGCTTCAGAGCAGCCGGAGCGACGCGTGGGGGGAGCGCGCACGCGCGGCCTTGCGCGTCGCTGCGCCTGCCTTGCGCGGCGTGCGCACCCTTGGGGAGGACGGCGCACCGAGAAGCGGAAGACGGACTCTTGTATTCCGACTAGCGCTCGAGAGGACACGTGTACGACTGTATTCGGCCGTACTCCGATCATTGTACGCGCAGCCCGTGTATCCACACGGTGCTCTGAGGAGTCTGCACAATGCCGTCTTCCCGCCCTGACCTCGGTGTACACATGGCGTACTAGGACGACACACTGTGCTCGGAGGTGGTGGCGGCGTGCTTGCGCTCCATCTTCAGCTTGATCGGGCTACGGTGGGTCGACGGGTGGCTCTTCCATCCGCAGCGGACCGACGAGGCGGAGGGCGAGGAGGAGGGCGGCGGCGATCTCCAGCCGCGCCTCGCTGGGGAGGTGACCTCGCTTCTTCGCGCCCTCGTTGGCGTGCGCGGGTCCGGGTTGGTTGATCGGGGGGGTTGCCGTTTCCGTAGGCCGACGAGGCTGTTCTCGAGGCGCTCGCTCTGGAGCCCATTGTGGCTGATGCGACGGCAGAGGCGGAGGAGGAGGCGGAGGCAGAGGCGGACGCCGCCGAGACGAGTTCGGTGCCGGCGATGTGCGCGGAGACCCTCTCCCTCGCTGCGAGGCTGTGGGCGGAGGCGTCTCCGCTCGCAGCCGAGGCGCCGGTGGCAGCCGCGCGAAGCCCATTGCGGCCGCGCTCCCCACGTCACGGTGGCCGCGGCTTTTGGTAGGGCGGTCCGCTCTCGCGCGGCGAGCGCGAGGCACTTCTGGTGGAGCTCTGCACCGCCGCTGCCGGCACGGCGCCAGCATCGCTCGACAGCCACACGCGATGGCGGCCGGCGCTTCGCCGTTGGGCGTACATGGCGCCGAGAGCGTTTGGGCGCTGGCCCCTCGCGCCCCTGCTTCATCCGTAGAAGGAGGTCGGTGGATTAGGTGCGGAGCCTCGTGCGGCTCGGCGGCGGCGGCGTGCTCGCATACCTGCAGGACACTCTGGGAGCGGCGGCTTGGGAGCGCGCCGCTGGCGGCGACGAATCGCGGCCGTGGTTGCTCGCTATGCTCGCGGTAGCGCTGCTGCGCGGCCCGCGCGTCGATAGTGGCGCGGCCTCGGAGGATGCGGGGTCTCGATCCGTGGAGGAGGCTGTCTTTGCGTGCTTGCCTGCTCTGCCGGTCGAGGTGGTTGGCTTCGCGCTCCGCCGCGGTTTCGGGCTCGGCGGAGTCCCGGGTGGCGAAGACGTCCCGGTCCCGGCCGGGTGCGGCTCTCTGGGCCCCCTCACCACTTTGCGCGCGTTTGTGTCGTGCACGCTGCTCCCCGCGCTCGGCAGCCGCTGGGCCTCGGCGCTCCCGGGTGCCGCCGCCGCGGCCGTGCAACGGGCGTTCGCCGCCGGGCCCGGAGCGGATCGGGAGGCCTCCGCTGCCGCCGCCCGTTCGCTCGCGCTGCTCCTCGCCGCGGCTGGTCCCGCGCGTGCGCCCGAGTTGCTCGCACCGGGCGGGAGCCTCGCGGCTGCCTTGCCCGCCGAGCTCGGGCCAATTGAGGGTGCGGCTGGCGGCGACACACCGGGCCCCGCCCTGCACGTCTTGCGCGTCTGCGTCTCTGCCGCGTGCGCGGCCGCGCCCGCTCCCACGCCCGCGCCGCTCGCATCGCTGGCCCGGCAAGCGATCGACAGCTTCCTGTCGCTCCGTCCCGGCGCTGCCGCGGCTGCGAGGGCCGCCGAGGCGCGATTCGGAGGCGGGGGCGCGGCGGCGGAGAGCGGCGCCGCCGCGGAGGACGCCGCGGAGGAGGCGGAGATCAGGGAAGAGCGGCGAGTCTTGGCGCGGTTGCGCCTCCTCGCGACGTTGCTGCCCGCTTCCGACGTTACCGCCCAGGATGGAAGGACGCACGAGGGGGTGGAGGGAGGCGCGCGTTGACGCGAGTCGCTCGGCTGTAGGCGGAGCCGATTCTCGAGCAAGCGAGGCGTCTCTCTCTCACCGTCGAGATGAGCAAGTTGGCCGCGCCGCTCGACACCGCCTTGTGCGCCGTTCTCGGGGTGTTGCTGCCGGCGGCAGCCGCGTCCGCCGCGTCGTTCCCCGTCGTGCTCGCGCACTCGCGCTGGATGGCGGCGTCGGTGGAGCGCGCGTTGCGTCGGGCGGCCAGCAGCGATGGCGATGGCGGCGACGGGTGGGCTGCTGTCGTGAGCGGATGCAGCGCGCTCGTCGAGGCTTTCGGCAAGGTGCCGCCCCTCGACACATCCGAGCACGGTGCGGGCGCGGCGGCGGCGGCGGCGGCGGCGGCGGCTCTCCTCGCCGGCGCTGGCGCCGCGAGCATGAAGGCGGTGGACAGCGAGGCTCTGAGCGAGGGGGTCGGTGCCGCCGCAGACCGGAGCGAGCGGCTGCAGCGCGCGCTTCTCCTGCTCCTGACGAAGCGCGCTCACGGCGCGGCGCGGCTGCGGTGGTCGCAGCGCGCGCTCCTCGATGCCCTCACCGCGCTGCGTTCGATGCCCGCGGTGCAGCTGCCCGCTGCGGCCGCCATCGCGTCGCTCTCGCCGCTGATCGGCGCGCGCTCCTCTCCGGTGCGGTTTGGCGCCCTCGCGCTCTTCGAGCGCCTCCAGAGCGCGGAGGCGGAGGCTGGCGCCGCCGCGGCTAGCGAGGAGGGGGCTGAGGAGGAGGGCGACGCCGACGAGCCGTTGCCGCTGCGCTTCTTGTTTGGCGGCGCGGCGCAGACGGTCGCGGGGCGTCGCGCCGCCGCGGACGGCGAGGCCATGGTGGCGCTGGACCGCCTCGAGGAGCTGATGGGGGACGCGGCCGACGCAGAGGCTCGTATGCTCGCGTGGAGCGCCGCTCTCGCTCTGCTAGCACACGCTCGTCCGACAGCCGCCGCGCGCGTGTCGGCCGGGTGGAAGCACTCGGGACTGCCCGGCTTCCTCAACGAGACGCTGCTTCCCCTTCTGCCGCTCGCCCGCCCGCCCCCCGGCTCCGGAGCCGCATCTCTGGCGGCGCCCACATCGCTCGGCGAGAGCGACCCGCCGCCCGGCGCAGCAGAGGTGGCGGTGGCGGTGTTTGCAGCCCTGCTGTCGAGGGTGCCGGCGCTCGCTCGCCACTGGTACACCTCGGAGCTCTCGCGCGCGGCGCATGCCGCGGTGGCGCGCTACACGGAGCTGCACGTCACGCCGGCGCTGCTGCGGCGCGAGGCGGAGGCGATCTCCGCCGCGCCTAGCTCGGGCGACGACTTCGTCGTCAAGGCGTCGATCGGCGCGCGCAGCGTGACGGCAACCTACTCGTACGAGGGCACGTACATGCAGATCGTGCTGCGCCTCGACCGGGCCCACCCGCTCCGCGCGGTGGAGGTGGAGTGCACGCAGCGGGCGGGCGTGTCGGACGCGCGGTGGCGGAAGTGGCAGCGCACCATCTCGACGATGCTGCTCGCGCAGAACGGCTCGCTGCGCGACGCGCTCGCCCTCTTCAAGGAGAATGTCGATCGCGTGTTTGAAGGCGAGGGGGAGCGCGGCGCGCCCCGGCGGGTGATGACGGCCTGCCAGCCCTGAGCACTCTTGTTGCGCGGTAGGTGTCGAGGAGTGCCCCATCTGCTACGCCATCGTGCACGGCACCACCCGCCAGCTGCCGAAGCTCTCCTGCCGCACCTGCCACAACAAGTTCCACGCGGCTTGCCTGTACAAGTGGTTCTCCTCGTCGCAAAAGTCGAGCTGCCCGCTCTGCCAGACAGCGTGGGGCTGAGGACGAGTCTGCCGCGGGGCTTCGGAGGCGGGCCCCTGGGGGCGCGCGGGAGCGGGCGGTCCCGGCAGGCTGTGGACTGTGCGCACCGCATGGGATCTGTGATTCATTTTCTTTCTTTCAAGTTTCACATCCCCCAAAGTCGCACAGGTCACGTCCCCGCCCACACCCACAGAGCTCGGCTCTCCGCTCTTAGCAAGGCGGCGGGCACAATCATCCCACCGCATCCGCCAGGCTGGCCCAACCGTGCGACACGGCGCCTAGTTGTCGAGTGATTCATCAATTCGCCCACACCCACAGAGCTCGGCTCTCCGCTCTTAGCAAGGCGGCGGGCACAATCATCCCACCGCATCCGCCAGGCTGGCCCAACCGTGCGACACGGCGCCTAGTTGTCGAGTGATTCATCAATTCACTCCATCGTGCACGTCGCCGGGCTGGCCCAGCCTTCCGGGCGCGGCGCCTCCGACTGGGAGGATGCTGAGCGAGTACTCGTCGTGCAGGACGGCAGAGCTTACCCGCGCCGACGAAGGCTGCACCGCCGGGCAGAAGGCGCCGTCCGGCTCCGTCAGCTGTCACCGTTGAACCACTTGCGCTTCTTGGGGGCCTTGCTCTTTGGCTCGACCTGGTTTGCCCCAAAGATGGCCGCCGCCGCGTCAATCGACTCCTTGACATCAGCCGGGAGCTTGTGGACGGTCTCCGCCATCGAATCGTACTTCTTTTTTGTGGCCGA